GCCGTGGGTTAAAGCAACAATTAAAAAGGCTTTAAGCGTTATTGTTACAATCTGAAGGAATTTAAGATTTGAAAACAATACTGGGTCGAAAAATGTTACAGGAGAAAATAAAAATCTTTCTTGATAACGTAGACTTTTGATGAAGTAACACAATACAAATTACAGCAACATTATTAATATTCTTCAGCTTAAATTTGTATAGCCCTCGTGTCTGGAAGGGTTACCCCCCAAACTTCAGTTATTTGTATGGCTCTCATCCACACATACAACTAATACTTTTATATTTGAACTTATTCTGCTCGTATCATCCGAACATGTGCTTGTCGTAGCAATAAGTTATTAAATTTATTATTTGTTTCAGGCTGCTCGTACTAAATATAGCAGTAGATCCCGATACAACGCCATCAGCTTCCATCCAATGCTCACCGAATCGGCAGTGGTGTATTCATACGCACACGAGGACGAGTATTCGACCGTTATATGAACACGTAATGTGTAAATTTCCCTTTACCAGAAGTAACGGCGCATGAAAACAATTTTCTGACTGCTATGTCGTCGAACGTTAAATGAACTAATTTGAAATAGTTTTCATAAACAATGATTTATTTCAGTACTAGAACTAATTTGATAATTGAGGAGAGCTTAGTATTCGTTTATTTTTAGTTCCATGTTGTGATTTATTTAAAAACTCGATAGCTTTGAAGTGCAGTACCATTAACAAATATCGCCTTCACATAGGGCAATTTAACTACTTCATATGGTAAATTGCTATCTGACGAAAATTGAAAAAAAAAAACATTTATTCAGATATTGGTGGTTTAATATAGTATTGGTTATTGAATTTGATGTGTTCTCTGCAGGCAGAGAAGCCTATATATGTTGTACAATGTATTAAGTTCAACGACTGTTGTATATGTATATGTTAGCTTGATAAACTAACCCAATATAAAGTAGTAATTATAAAAATATTATTAATTTTAAAAAAAGGATATTAAAAAAATCAAAGATTGTAAATCTTGTGACGTAGTCATTAATATTTAACTTGTATCGAATTATTCAAATATCAACTATTCTCGCCCGTCAGAATCACCGACAAAAAAAATAAGATTCCAAAATAAAAATACAATTGCTTATAAAGTAAATGTCGTATTTGTCATATGTTGGGGTACGATAATGTAAATCGTGTTGCTGAATAGCTCCCTTCCTTGTGTAAAGCCCTGTACACAAGACATTTACCGAGATATAAAATGTCAGGATCGCATGCCATGTATCGCGGGAGAACATTTTATTCTTAAGCGTGGGGCTAAAATTCATACGCACGCACGCACGCACGCACGCACGGTGTGTTAAACGTATTTATCCCGCATTCTCGGGAAATAGTGTGTATGAATGCCGACATTTAAATTCGTAGGGAAAACTGATAATATGGTCTAATGCAGGTGATCGGTATTCACTCGATAAGCACTACATCAGCGATTGCCTATTTTTCGGAGAAAATGACTAGTAAATGTTTTGATGTTCATCATGGGAAGTGATGGTTCTATCCAGCGAACAACAATTACAACTTGTGCTAGGTAGATGTACCTTAAAACCACGTTAAACAAACTAAGAAGTTTCAGATGTATTAGCCCCCCCCCCCCCAGGTTACTGTCATCAACCGTACCGTATTATACACAAGTGACTCGCCGTTAGCAGTTCAGTGTCAGAGGCAGAGACTGGAACACACTCTACCTTGATTCATGGAAGGTAAAACAGTCTGTCGTTCCCTGTGATTCAAGTTGGAACTAATCACAACTACTTTAAACTTTTCTTTAACGCAAAAGTCGATGTTTAAACAAATCAAATATTTCACTTGAATTGTGATTGGCCTGATCTGTACCAGTAATTGCAGTGGCGGATCTAGAGGGGGTTCTTGGGGTCCGGACCCCCCCCCCACCCCCGTTGAAAAATGAGTGTTCAATTTGTTTTTGTATAATATAAACAAATCATTAACTTAGTCTGGCGATTTTAAAGTTTGGACCCCCCATAAAAAAAATTCTGTATCCGCCCCTGAATTGCCGACTGCATAAACAATTTGCCATCGTGTCGCATACCTAAACCATACGTCATTTGGAATTAGGCCAGAATTTTTCAATTATTTGGTTCTCGAGTTTTTATAAGACACTTTTTTGAGGAGGGCGAAAAAAAAAAAAAATCTTTTTTTCCCATTAGATTTGCGCGATTCTCAAAGAATTGTAAGTGAGATCATGTATAACCTTGTTTCTCATCTGCGCGAGACTTCGCTACTTTGATCATGATACTCCCAATTTTTTTTATTTTTATTTCATTTTCGGCTCCTGTTCATTCGGCGGGTTCGCGAAACAAGGGATAATAAAAGTTTGGCCTTACTAGTAATTCATGCAGCTCGATACGAAACGTTCAGAAGACTGGAGAATGCCGTACTGCTTATTATGCAAGCAAATGAGGCGCCGATCGTCACGCGTGACCGCACAGGTAACGAATGTCAATACGATAGGTGGTGGCACAGATCAGACCAATCACAATTCTCTAAAGTGACGTCATTTCAATTACACGGAGGGTAAATTTGGAAAGTGACCTCAGCGTGGGTGGAGCGAATACAGGTGACTCACGCACATTGAGTATATAACGTCATTCAACACGATTCTATGCGTAACACCTATACTTGCGTACAGGTTGTCGCAGTGACTGCATCAACGATCAAACTTCGCACAGACTATTACTAGCAAATTAAAGCGAGAGTCTTGCATTGCTATGGCTGAATCAAGTAACAGCGCAAGTACCTCCAGTTGCTCGAGTAGAGAAGACCTCAATATCTGTCAAAAACAGCCGGGCGATCGAGACAAAACAGATTGTGAAGGCGCCGGTGCGGCAACACCACTAAGAAGCTCAACAGATTCAGACTGGGATCGATTGTTTCAAAGACAACGGAGGTAGGGAATCAACATTTTTGTTCCCAGCGGTTTTCGGGCGAGAGCAGAATTTATGACGGGGGGGGGGTTGTCACGGAAAAGTTAGGGGGGGGTGAAATTTTATGACAGCTGTAAAGAATAATAGTTTTTTTTTTTTAAAAGCAAAGAAGCTGGCACCTTGATTTAACAAACTGTATGCATGCATGTCTTCCTGGAGGTATGTATGGGGGTCTAAAAACTAACGACTGCGACGCGATTGTGTGACTCGCCGAATGTCGATTATTGCACTCTGCGACAGGATCGCAGTGTCACTCTGCGAAGAGCACTATTCCCATTGGTTGGTTGGTCGAAAAGCGCGAATCTCAATGGTCGATCGATGTAAGGGTACACATGCCTTATAGAAATGTTTAGTTTTAAATGGTTATTTCGCCGACTGCTCGCGAACTACGGTAAACAAGTATTTACCGACGACATGCCGCACGGTTCGGTAATCAGCAAGTATTTAACATTGATTTATTGACATAGATAGATAGATAGATAGAATTTTTTTATTTGGAACGTACCAATGAAAACTTGAGTAAAGTTCAAAAATAACAATATAACATATATAACATCCCCCGGAGGGGATGAGAGGGGTTACAAAACACATGCACGTTGGTGTCGGCTGCCTTATTACGGTGTAACATTAGGGAGCTGGTAACATTAACGCCATCTTGCAGTTGTAAGGCTTCGTCCGCAACTATGTTCATTAGCATAGGCACTGCTTCCAAGCGAGTAGAGCGCGAAGTAC